TCAAGTGGTAGAGCACTGGCCTTGAGCTGAAGAGCTGAGGGACAGCGCCCAGGCCCAGAGTTCAAGCCCCATGACGGACAAAAAAAAAAAAAAAACAACAGTTCAATGGTCCAGCAGCTCTGAGACTCCTGTGTTATTTTCACTGCTCTGCATTTGGAGCTAGCTTATTTTTAGTATTTGTTTTTCTCATGCCAAGTTGGTCAGGGGCAAGTATTCAGCCGGAGGCCTGGGTATGTTTGCATCTGACAGAGAGAAGGGGGGAGGAAGGGGGGAGGGGGGAGGAGGAGGGGTTCCCTGACTGGACCCAGGGCCATCAAGGCTGGTGTTGTCCACAAGGCTTGTCTAGGGAGGAGATGGCAGATCAAGCAAGAAGAGATGGGAGAAGCAGGAGACAGAACAGGGAGTAATATAGTCCCTGAGCATTTAGACCCACTCTCTACTGTCATCTTCCTTGAAAAGAAGGAATGCAAGGTTGTCAAGATAGTCCAGAGTGGGCCTGGGGGTGGGAGTGTGTTCCACTTGTGCTTAAGTATAGATCCTAATCATAAAAATAGCCAACTTTCCGTTTCCACATCTACAAAGACAAGTGCATCTGAGGAAGAGTCCCCAGCAAGAGAGATTTTTATCTACCAAACCCTTCCCATTTGAGGATAGGCACCAAGAGCTTTTGATTGATTAAAGCTGCAAGGTTAGCAATCGGGAGGCAAAGATCAGGAGGACCAATGTTTAAGGTCATCCTGGACCAAAGTTATTGTGACTGTCATCTCAACAAACAAGCTGGGCATGGTGGTAAACACCTGCAATTCCAACTTACACAGGAGGCAAAGGTAGGAGGACTGAGGAACAAGGCTGCCCTTAGACAAAAAGAAAAAAAAAAGTGCAAGACCCTTACTTGAAAAATAAACCAAAAGGAGCTAAGGTATGTCCTAAGTGGCAGAGCACCAGCCTAGCAATCACAAGGCCCTGAGTTCAAACCCTGGTACTGCCAAAATAAAGAGAAAGGTTATTGAGATTACACTGACCACCCGCTAGTGTGTCTTGTGGGACAGGGGGAGAACAGGGACTTTCTAAGACCTTATCTAGCTTGCAGTGTTTTGGGCCTTTCCCTTCTGTAGAAGGCTCTGAGAGTACAAAGCCTGGCGTTCGTCTTGGTCACCCACAGAGTAAGAGATTAAGAGAAAAAAAGAACATTCCACAAGGATTCAGGGATGGGTGTTGGCTCAGGTGCCATCTAACTGGATGTGTGGCCTGTGAAGTCCTTCCACCTCTCTGACCTCAGTTTCTCTATCTGTCAAGGGAGGCATCTGACACTCTATGAGAAGCAGACTTGGTGTGCCTCCAAATCTCGGGGTGACTCCAGATTCCTGGGGTTCCAGAGCATGCCTGAACAAGGCAGCGTGTTAGAGGAGGAATACTGTGTGTGCACCTTACTGAGAATGCGCGGGCCACGCTGCTGAGCCCACAGAAGGCTCTCCTCCAAACCAGCAGCTGCCCCACTTTGACACACCTGTGGTGAGTGTGCTCAGTCAGCGGGAAGAACCTGACAGCACGGCCTGGGCCTCCTGACACTGCCTCGCATGACTCAAAACCAGCTCCCCATGTCCCCATCCCCCCCAAACAAAGCACACTGCCCCAGGATGCTGCTATGTTCTGAGGCCCAAGACCTGGTTCTCCTTTCTCTCTTGCTGTCTCGCGAGGCTTCAGATGGGTACCTCCAGCCTATGAAGCAGGGAGGCCTTCCCAACCTTGCCCACCTCCCACCAAAAGGGACAGAGAGGTCCCCGGGAGCAGTGAGGGACGGCTCCCGGGTGGTGGCACAGAACCAGCAGTTAAGGCTTTTCCCAACCAGGCCCAGATGAGCAGCAGACAGGTTGTTCTGACAGGGCTATTTATAGAAGCATCTCAGCCTTTCCCAAAGGGAGCCTCAGTCTCTCAGCGACCAGGAAACATATAAGCTCCTTTCCTTGGAGACAGGAAAAAGAAAATTCTCTTGGCCCAGAGGCAATCTCTCTTTGAGTAGGAGAGAGACATTGTTAGAGGTCAGGAGATGGCCAGTAGATTTTGAAACTCATTCTTGAGTGACCAGAGGGGAGAAGAGAGCTGGAAAATGTTACTGAAAGAAACAAAACTCACCAAAAATGAAGAATGACACATTCCTCTGCTCTTAAAGCAGCTACCCACACCTATTCAGAGTCTAAACTGTCTTCTGTCAGCCCAGCCCAACTCCAGGGCTTGGACCCCTAGGCCTGCCCCTCGCTGAAGCACACGGTGCCAGAGGTAAACTGTCCCTGACCACAGTCCTGAAGGTCTAGGTCAGTTTCTTCTCATACTATGTACTTGACCTGGGTAAAGGCCAAGGATAGAGGGGTCATGTCCACCTCCCCTTTCTTCTCTGGAGCATCAGTGTCATATTGTCCCCTTTGTCCTTGATAAGGTGTTTCTTCTATTTTCTTTTGTGTGTATGCTGGTACTAGGGCTTGAACTCGGAACCTAAGTGCTGTCCCTTAGCTTTTCTACCATACTCCATGTCTGGCTTTTTAGTGGTTAACTGGAGAAAAGAGTCTCATAGGCTCTATTGCCCAGACTAGATTTCAACTGTGATCTTCAGATCTCAGCCTCCTGAATAGATAGGAAGATGACTTTCTTAAAAGGCTTTCCTGTCTTTGGTAAGCTCACAGGATCTGGACAATGAGGAAGGGAGACACGCAGAAGGCTCCAGATGTGATGGATTCAGAACACAAACAGAGTTCCTGTGGGGACCAAACCAAAGTCAGATCTAGAGGAGTTGTGACACTTAGAGGAAGAATGAAAAAGAAAGCTTCGGAACAAGTCATTCCCCGCTGCCAACCCAGTCCTGGCATACTTTCTTGTAAGGATATTTCTGTTTCTCCCAAGAATATAAGAGACATCCACCCCTTATAACTGCCAAATAAGAGCTTTACAGTGCCACTTCTAATTATGCAAAATTCTTGTTCTCTGGGACGAAGGACTTACAGCCCGGCTAGCTATGAGAGGCAAGCTTTAGCAGCTAAACTTTGTTTTAATAGCAGGAACCATTTCTTCCCTGAGCAGCAACAAAATTCTCTAGCGCAGTTGTTCAAACCCTCAGCTGTATATGAGAATTACCCAGGGAGGTAATCCTGGTGCCCAAGCTGCTCAATGGGCCAACTGAGCTTCACTCCTTAGGCTTACAATCCTCTTGTCAGAATATTCTACAGCTTCCCACGATTCCAGGGTGTTGCTAAAATTGAGAGCTACCTTTAGAGGGGGAGAGGTTGACACAATAAGGTAAGAACCCCAAGGGAGAGAGATACTTCCTCTCTGCAGAATGCTAGCTGGAAAAGGGAACCCCTGCCACCCCAAATCAAGTAGCAGTTCAATGCTCTGTTTTAATCAGTTCCTTCCAAAAGTTTTTAGGCATCTATCAGACCCTAGAACCCGGCCTGAAGTGATCATGAATTCTTCACAAGGGTGGCTCTAAGTTAGGCCTGGCGAAGTCTGGGTTAATTCTAGTTGGTATAGCCCTGCTGAATTAATGATGAACCTGTCACATACCCCTGAGGGACACACCTGGCTCACTTTGGCCTACTAATACCCCCTTCCGAGGTAACCTCTCTAAGTCCTGGGTTGCAGTCCTCAGGTCTAATTACAACAACAAACAAACACGCTGGCCCTTCCTCTCACCATCTTGGACTGAGTGGCTCAACAGCCAGCTGCCAGAGCTTCGCTAGAGGCTGACACCTTCAAAAACACACGGTACCATCAAGGCTCACACAGGTGTCCCAAGGCCACCAGGGAAGCTAAACCAGTTAGTATGACAGTGGTCTAGGCGAGAAGCTTTAGTCTGTTAGGAAAAACACTACGGAGTTCTGCAAAGTTAAACTGCAGGGTAAGTTTTTAAATGGTTTCTGGCCACTTACAAAACGGAAGTCTCAACCTAGAATGTTCATCCTACTCCAGGACTGAGTGCCGGCCTTGCTACCACTTGAAGCAGGGGATGGGTGTGTGGGGAGGGTGGAGGGGGTGTTGAGTGAGCTCAGCTAACTGCTGAGGCATCCGCATCCCCTGATCTGTAAGCTTACAAGGACAGTTACCTCCTCAGGTCCAGGGGACCTGCGGTCATGGGGAAGCCAGGCACTGTCCCCAAATCTTGAGAGCCATTTTGAAAAGGTCTCGGGACAGGAAATGTTTGAACCAAGGGTGATGGGGAGGGGAGGGGTGGAATGCAGGACCCTGAAGGGCTCCAGATCTAAGCCTTGCTCCCATGTGGCCAGTTCAACATGGTCCCTGGGGCAACTCTCCAACCATGGCTGGACACATGACTTCGCCCGTGTGCCAAGGGCCAAGGTGGAGGGAGGAGAGGCCCTGGGTGCGTTTACCTTTGGAGATCTGCCCTGCGCGTTCCTGAAAAAGGTGGTCTTGGCGGTGAAGAAGCAATCTTCCAGCTCCTCCTCCAGACTGCAGTACCCGCTACTCATGCTGCTGTCCACCGTCATGGAGGCTGCGGGCGCGGGGTGGGGAGCAAGGCCGGGGTGCGGGGGAGCGCGCGCGAGGCGGGGAATCCCACCCGGGCTCTGCAGCTAAATCGGTCCGGGTCACCGTCACCGGGCAGGGCCGAGCCGCCGGCGATGCCTTCACGGGAGCGGGCGCGGTCCCGGCGGCAGGGTCCCCG